CCCTATTTTTAGCCCTATGCCCTGTCTGTGTTATGCCTGTAACAACAGTCACTTGTCTGAGAAGCACCTTAGCATCAGCAAAAGAAGAAAATACTCAGTCTGAGGGTTTTTTTATAGCACATTATACAGATAAATAGTACTGTTATTATGGTCTTCAAGTCCAGCTAGGTAAATAAACATCTCAGCACCCAATATTTAGAAGGTGCATTGTGTTTGCATGGCCAGGTTTCAGGGGGGCTACAGGGGTGGCTATGGAGAGCTGCTTGATGCTTTTCCCATGTCTGATAGAGCCAGGGTGCCAGCTGACTCCAAGCTGGACCCACCACTGGCCAAGGCTGAGCCCATCAGTGATGGTGGTAGTACCTCTGAGTAAACAGATTTAAGAAGGGGTAAAAGTTACTGTGCAGCTGCAACTGAGAGAAGTGAGAATAAATGAGAGCAACAACCTTACAGATCCCAAGGTCAGTGAAGAAGGACAGGAAGCACATACTCCAGGCACCAGAGCAGAGACTCCTCTGAAGCCTGTGGTGTAGACCATAATGAGGCAGGCTGTCCCCCTGCAGCCCATGGAGGTCCACAGGGGAGCAGGAGGATGTGCTCTAAATGAGACTGTGGCTCCATGGGAAGCCCACACTGGAGCAGCCTCCTTACAGGACCTGTGGACTCATGGAGAGAGGAGCCCACACTGGAGCAGGTTTGCTGGTAGAACTTGTGACCCCGTGGTGGACTCACACTGGAGCAGGCTGTTCCTGAAGGACTGCACCCTGTGGAAGGGACCCACACTGGAGCAGTTCATGAAGAACTGCAGCCCATGGGAAGGACTCATATTGGAGAAGTTGGTGGAAGACTGTTACCCATGGTAGGGACCCCACACCGTAGCAGATGAACTCCCCTCCCTGAGAAGGGAGAGACTGACTGTGTGAAGAACTGACCACAACCTCCATTCCCCTGTGCCACTGGGGCGAAGGAGGTAGACAATCAGGAGTGAAGTTAAGCCTGGAAAGGAGGGAGAGGTACATGAAGGTGCTTTTAATATTTGATTCTATTTCTCATTATCCTGCTCTTCTTTGATTGGTAACAATTTCAATCTGTTTTGCCTGTGATGGTACCTGGTGCATGATCTCTCCCTGTCCTTTTCTTGACCCCATGAACCTTGTATTGTTTTCTCTCCCCTGTCCTGCTGAGGAGGGGAGTGATAGAGCAGCCTTGGTGGACAGCTGATGTTCATCCAGGATCAACACACCACAAAAGGAATGGGATAATGTGTTTGCTTGTATATTCACATTTGCTTTTACTAAAGCAAAACATGACACAAGAGCCACTTGTGATAATAGAAACATGTAAGATGAAAGTAAAATAGAATAGTCAAAAGTGTGTTTGATGGATGGGGTTAAGGATGGAAGCTTCTGTACTGATTCAGCTAATGAGCCTTATTTTATTCATCTGATGTTACTGCTGCCAGGAGTGTATCAGTTGTACAACACTTTTAGTGACCTTTCAGGCACAGCCAGGATAAAATGCCTGCAGAAAGGGCAGCCTTCTGTATGCTTTAAGAAACTAGCTCAGAGTCCACAGGGAGCTTTTACTGCAGTCTGGGCGCCACAGGGTTTGTAGTGCTGAGAAACTGCCACCATTAAGAAACCTTGCTACAAAGAATTTAATGAAATGCTTTTGTATTGGAGTTCACTTTCTATTACCTCTCTTTACCTTGCAAAGTTTGTGGCTGCCTGTAAGAAGCCATTGCATGCCTACAATGAGGTTACAGTAGTACCCTTTGCCCTACCATCATTTGGTTACACACATGGGAACTTCCATGTTGAGCTGAACATAGAAATGTCTGTATGAGAATGCCTTGTTTGTCACTTGACAATCTGGATGTTAGCACTGTGTTTACTCTGTGTAACAGGGCAAAGCCACAATGCATGAAGAGATCTTTGGCATTCATCTTTCTCTCATGCCCACACAAAGTCATTTTGTTCAAAGAAATCTCTTTCTCAACACATTGGTTTAGGATTCTGAAAACAACCCTAAAATCACCCTTAAGACCTTTGGCCCACAGCTGTAGAACCGAGTGTCTGTGCTTGAAGCCTACTAAGAATGGTTTACCGGTTGCTTGAAGGGTGTAGGAAAGTACAGAAGAAATGCAAATCTGGACAAATGCATGTAAGCAACATCCATACAGTGACATAGGTTGACACCAGTCAGACACTCAATACAACACAGGTATTTTCTGACTTGTGTTGTCAGAGATCAAGAGTGGCAAAAAAAAAAGAAAGCTGGGCAAGCAAACAACAAACTGTACCTGCAGCAAAGATATGTCCATTATGTTTTCTGCAATCCTTGTATTTGCATAGAGGGGATTTTTTTTCCTCTCAGCCTAGCACTTCACTCAATCATTGTCTTCATTCTGTGCCTGTAAACTCAGTATGCTTCCAAAGACATGATCACATTGTGATAAAGGTATTCTGATGGTTACAGACAGTGAGTAAGTAGAAAGAAACAAATGGCATTTATCTTGAATTTAGGAGGATTTTGCTGCTAAGAAAAGTTTGTAAGAAGGCCAGGGAAGTACTGTCCAGATGCAGCCATCATAGGTTGTGTGCAGAATTGTTTAAAACTTGATTTGAAATGTAGTTATAAACCAAATAGGATGACATTTCAGATGGGATCCCACTGGGACCTCAGCTAGGGAAATAATTCTCTTCATTATTTTTGTTAACAGCAAGGATGATAGAGGAGAGAACATTTGTAAAAATTTCAGATTAAACCAGACTGGGAGGGGTACAAGTACTTGTGAAGATAAGATTAGAAGTCAAATGATCTTGAGAAGTGGCTTGAAATCAGGAAGATGAAATTCAATACAGACAAGTGCAAAAGAACTCCTTGTGGGAAAGAATCAGTCGTCTTCAGGTTGACTAGACTATAGTTAGTGTCAAAACATAAAGATTTGATTATTAAGTGTTTGTATGATGCTGTTGGGAAAAAAAATTTTAAAAACCCTCAAGCTGAAAACAAACCCCAAAACCAACAAAGCAAACAAAAAAAAGCCCCAAACAACCACACAAACAAAACCAAAACCAAAACAAACAAAAAACCCTAAAAAAACCAACTGGAAAAAAAGCCTAAGTACAAAAACCAAACCTAGTGAGTTATTCCAGGTTGTGTACAGAAAACTATGTGGCAATCATTCCAGTTAGTCCTGATTTGTGTACCCCACTGTAAGAAAAATATAAGTAGACCGAGGAAGGATCTTCAAACTTTGAAATTTAGAGGCTTCAATAACATGAGCTGTGAGAAAAATTTGAATGAACTATGTATGCTTAAACTTGGAACCAATGGATAGCGTGAAATACTTTTTTTAAAATGCTTTAAAGCAGTTATAAGAGAGAAAAAAATGGCTCATTTTTCTTCATATCTATAGGGAGATAAGGTCAAAATGTAGAAAAGTAGTTAATTTGCAGGAAATAACATTTAAATTAGACATTAAGAAGTCAGGCACAGGGAAAAGCAACACAGAGAGAGTATAGAACCTCCTTCATTAGAGATGTCAGGGATTAATTTAGTAACACATCATTCTGGGGTAGGAGTATATGTGATGTTGCCACAAAGCACAGAGTCAGCTGCATTATTTCCACAGGGGCCATTCTTGCCCACAAAGAAGGTGTATGACAGATTCAACATGTGTGTGGTTGCAATGGAGACACGCTATACCCATCCAAGTCTAGTGTTTTGGTGGCTCTTTGCTTGCAAAGTAAATTGTGGACAGACGAGTACAAGAATTTGATGTTTCTGTAACGTGTCTGGAATGTATGTGACTGCATTATAAGTGTGGCTAAGTGTGGCACACATTGAGAGCTGCCTTAGTGTAAAATAACCTTATAAATGCAGATTTTAAGGACTCCAACCACTGTGAAAGTTCTCAAACCAAGGGTTGTAAATTTACATTTTTTGATTTTTATGTGACAGTTACTGTATCTTAGATCCACAAGAAACTCTCCTCCATCAAAGAACCTTTTCTTTTTTTTCTTTGCTTTTAATGTACCCAGAGCCAGTCTCTCAGTAGCAGTGCCCAGACATGTGAAAAATGCACTTCCGTACCTGAACTCTTTGGCCCTTTTCTATCAAAGTAAAGTTAAATTCACATCTGGGATGTAAGAGACAATATTTCAGGGATGAGAACTGCCCACAAATAACACCTGAAAGCCAATAGTTGGGTCTCCTGGGAGAAAGAAAGCAAAGGGTGCCCTTTTACCTGTGCAAAGAAAGTGTTATAGCAGAGAAACAGAGGTCTCAGGCTCAGATGAGATTGAATTTCCCTGGAAATTGTTTAAAACAAACATAGAAGACCATCGGGAACTGGCAATGGTGTGAATTAATAAATAACTTCCACCCTACAACCTTCCTGCAGACCTCCAGTGCCTTGAGAGAAACGCAGGTTTCCTTACATCTGTGAAGTTCCATCTCTGAAGCTCAGATAAATTGTTCCAACCCTCTGTTCATGCATTTCAACCCAAATGTCAAAGCAGGGAATCAGAGAAACTTCTGTCTCTCAGACAGAGTTGGATCAGTGTGCTCTCTCTTCTACATCACTGAGCCATGGTACGACAGCAAGCCAGACTGAGTAATCACAGTCAGCAGCAATGCATTCATGCCAATAAATGGTTTTGAGCATTTGCAATGCCTGAATAGCATTGTTTTATACTACAGTGAGGTGGTCTACTTGAAAAAGGGGGACATGTGGCTATTTCTGATGGACAGATGGCTGTAATAAATCCCTCATTGTCTTTTTGTGGGTTTAAAATTAAAGAAAAAAAAAGGGGACTTTGCCTTTCTCTACCTTTTTTTTGCCCTTTTTCTGCATCTTCGCAATTAGCTGGTCTAATTTTAACAGATTATTAAGGAACTGGTCATAACAAATCTGTGTGCTGGGTGGTTCTTGAATGATAGTGCCTATCACTTCTGAAAAGATGTTGCTAATGAAAGCAATTTTCCCCTTTCAGTTGATTTCATAGGTGGATTTGACTCTTACGGCTATCAAGGTCCACAGAAGACATCTCATTTACAGCTACAGCCCATGTATATGTAAGTACTTAACTTCTAAGATATTCAGCAGACTGGCAGGCTGATATTAAAGGATCATTAAGCTGAAAGATGGCATGACTTAAAAATTCAGAATAGGCAGAAGCCTTTTCTGATGGACTGAATTCAAGCTACACTTAAGCACCAACATTACTCTTCTGTTGAATTATAATGATTTCTTAGGGCAGAATATCACATGTCACAGTTGTTCAAATAACACCCAGCTCTCACCCAATTTTGCCCCATTTTCATCCAAGCAGGTTCCACTCAGATGCAGTGAGAGTTTGGTGTAAAAAGCCCTAGTCCTACGTGACAAATATTGTTTTCAAAAAAAGTAGTATTTTATTAAGATTTTTCTGGCAACTCTTTAATTTAGTGGATGCATTTAGCATTTGTCTTACCAGAGCATCTGTTCACCACAGCACCTCTGTACCTCATTTCCAGTTTCTGCATTTAGAAAAAAACAAAACAAATGTAATGACATATTGCTTTTAAAACCAGTTTGAATAGAAGACAATAGTTTACCTAACCAATGAGTGATAACTCCATTCTAGAATGTAGCCTGATATATTTGGGAATGAAATGGGTAATCAGCTCTCAGCGCATACACACAACTGGGGTATATTCACACCAGAGTTAACACCCAACCATAGACCAGTCCAGAAATAATCATGTCCAAATATTTTTTGTACTGATGCCAGCTGCAATTCAGAAATATCCTGACTGCTCAGATAAATCTTACCTCGCTGCTGAAGCCTTTTGGAATATTTTTTATTTCCCATCAGCAGCCATACACACTGAAAGCACAGCACCAAACAGCTCACAAAGGGGCACCATTTGCTTTTGTCCCTTGTTTCTTTTCTGAACATCTCTTTTGAGAAAAAGAACTGAATTTGAGCAAACAATATCCATCCCAACATACACTTCCATTCACCCTTGAATGTGGTTTCATTTTTTCTGATTAGTGGAAGCAAGTCTGCTAATGGATTAGTGTATTTTTGCATGGAACTGACGTTTACTCCTTTATAAGTGGTACAATCAGTTCTGCAGTAATGCTTAGGATTGGGCCCTTTGGGAGCTTTGCTAGAAGCTTTTTAATAATCTCAAATTACAATAGTGCATATCTCCAATGCCATCTTAACTTCAGCTTCCCATCTGTCTGTGCTCAAGTAAGGATTTTTTACCTGCATTTTTGGCACAGTGCTGTGCATTTAGAAAATGTTATTTCCTTCCTAGTATTATATGAGGCTCATAGGTACTTAGAACAATTCTAATTCTACTTCTTTCTCGGTATACCATAGCTTGTCATCAACATATGGAGCTCTCTAACTGAGATATTATCCCATTCTCTTTATGCTCTCAGTGTTTATTCCAGAACAGCAGATTGCATTTGCTGGGCATCTTCATACAGACTGGAAAGAAAGCTAGACCTGTGGAAAAAAACAGAAGGCAATATTTTTAAGCTTGTAGCTGAAACGAAGAGATATATTAATCTGTGTAAACTGTGTCCTATCTTATTTCAATGCTGCATTCTCACTGGCATATAGGTGATTTTGCTGTCTTAACTGAGAGACACAAATCAGAATGTGAGCTGACATTTTGTCCAATCAACCTGCAAAACTATTGCCATGTCCCAGCCACAGTCAAACAAAGGCACTTCATGTTTCCCTCTGACTGTATAGTATTTGACAGCGTTTTCTAGAATTGCTACAATCTGTCCTTAAGAGGCTTTTACAGCATTTAGTAATACCTTTCTGTTATTTACAGCTGAGGCACACCAGGAGCACATGCATATGTATTCACACTGCAGTTGCTCTGTAAATGTAGGCAGACTATTCGGCAGTGGAGTGACAAATTCGAATGTCAAATTAATCAAGTCAAGGTTGATCTGCTTGTAGCACTATTTACAGCAATATTATGTACTGGAAATCAAAACATGCTGATATGATAACAGCAGGCCATACTTGGTATTTTAAAGCTTTATTTGTCGGGAGGAAGAGTTTGGTTCCCTACAGATCTTGTTCACTGAAGAACATCAATGTAAGCCTCCATAGTATTCAAGGAGGAAAAAAACCCCAACAAACAGGTCTTCACATTACTCTCTGGCCAATATCACCTCCACTTTACAATGCTCAGCAACTCTAGGGTATGAGTAATAAGCAAAAATATTTAACATGAGGAGAGAGGAGGAGTGGAGAGGAGAGGAGAGGAGAGGAGAGGACAGGCCTTCTGCTTTACAGAGTCCCTTGCCATACTCTCATCACTGTCCAAGGTACAATCATATCTATCCAAATACAACTATATCCATACATATCCATAGAGTTTTATTCATATACCTATTTCCACAACTCCATCAATTGCTACAAAATGTCTTTGAATCCATAGACAGTGAAGTATAGGAGAGGAGAGGAGAGGAGAGGACAGGCCTTCTGCTTTACAGAGTCCCTTGCCATACTCTCATCACTGTCCAAGGTACAATCATATCTATCCAAATACAACTATATCCATACATATCCATAGAGTTTTATTCATATACCTATTTCCACAACTCCATCAATTGCTACAAAATGTCTTTGAATCCATAGACAGTGAAGTATATATTAAGCATCATCCTGTCGAATTCCTGCAAAAGATCAAAAAAATACAAAGATAGCTTGTTGATACCTCTGCAGCCTTTACTATTAAGGCTCACACTGAGTGCAAGTCATGTGAAGCTCTGAGTTTATGAGAGAAATAGGAGAGAGTTGCCTTTAAATCATCTGACTGCTAACTATATCCAAAAGCACAATAACAGTTTTTTTGTTTTCTGTGCTGTGCTAGTTCCTATAGGTGTGCTAAGCATGTTGCAGACTGGAAGGAGAACATATGGCCTCAGCTTTAAAGAGCTTACTGAAACAATATTGGCTTCTAATGATTGTACAGATTCTGTAAAAATACAAATTTCAACATGTAGGTCAGTAATACAGCACAGAGAAGCCCCTATATATTTACCAGACTGATTCATATACAAAACTAGTACAAATCTTAAAAGACATACAGAATTGTATGGTAGGTATCAGTTATCATGCATGTACTGCTTGCTGATGTGTCTTGATTTACTGGATTGCAATGAGAAAATTCCATCAGCACAAACTTGTATTTCTATGCCAGACAGTTTTATATCCAAGTGATTTAAATTATTTTTAACTGTTTTACATATGCACAATTTAATTATTATCCTGAAGGAATGCTGGGTTTGGTAATTGCCAACTGTTAAGACTCAGTGTTTTGTAGCCAGTTTCCTCCCATGTGCTAAAGTTAGCCGTTCATTTTGTTAATTTGGAGGTTGTATTGAACCTACACAAACTTCCCACGTGCAAATAATTATATGATTTATTCAGGTTTTTTGTGTTTACATTGTGTCAGGACTTCTTTACCTAAAGATTTATTACTTTTTATTTGTGATATCAATCAAGCTCTACTTATAAGAACATTCCAATTAAGTGAGCACAGTACATTTGTGTAGAATTTCATCAGTTATGCAAAACTACCCTAAATAAAAAGAATACTTAGGGAAAAAAAAAATCTTGATTTATGAAAAAAACCTTATCTGTAGATAATGAATTGAGGTGACTATCTCTGGCTGATGTTTCCTTAAATACTCTAGAATTATTAGATTCAGGCTCACTTTGTTTTTTATTCTCCGTATTTTAGGCTTTGAATTCCAATCACAATTGTCCTTATCATCCCTTCCAATTTCTTATTTAAGTTAAATCACCTTACTTTTTAAAGAGAAAAATATATTCAATTTAAAATTCTGTTTTAAATAGAACACTGGTGTTTTGGGGGAGAATTCTTATCATGCCATTTATCTACCTGTTATAAATGGGGTTTTTCTATTATTTAAGTGCCAACAGTGTGCTCTATGCTGTACAAGCCAAGAAGCCTAGACAGTCCCTTCAAAACGAATACGCTTTTTGAACAGAACGGGACAGAACCGATGCTCATGTACCTCCTTGCAATGTGGCCACAGCTGATGTACTCAAAAGCAGCTTCCTGGCATACTGTGCCGGAGATGCCAGTGCTCATTTCCAGACCATGGGAGAAGAACACAATAAGATGGCGGAAATCAATTGTCAAGAGAAAATTCTGCTCTTGGGAGGTGACCAAGGAAGGTGACTAAACACTCCCTGACACTGATTCTGCTGCACATAGAAAAAAAACGTAGTTGTGGAGCAAGGCTGCACTGCATGATCACTGTTCTAAAAACAGTAGGAAGGAGGGAGGGGAGAGAGATCTTTATGTTCTTCACAGTAAACTTGTTTGCTCAAGAAAAGAAGAAGTGAAGCAAAAAAAAGCATGCATGTCTGATGTTGATGCCTAATGCACTGGAGAAATTGCACAAAAGCAGTGCAGCTCTGAAGTGAAGCTTGGTTCCTCCTATTATGAAGTCTAATATTTGCAGTATATATACTCACACACACACAGGTGTTTGTCTAGATAATTGCACATACTGAAGGTGCTACCTACTTTACCATTAACTTGAAGTATAAATGAAACATAAGACTCTAAATCTAATGCCATGAGCATAACCACCATGACACTCAGCAAGTTCACACAGTACAAATCTGCTGCATAATTATCTCCTCATGTTTGTTGAATTCAGACATTAAGAACAACAGTCTATTTAAATAAACTATCAGCTAAGCTTTGACTCAACAAACAATACCTTCTCCATTTTAGACTGAAAGGGTTAGATAGAAAACACGGGTTTGGGACAACACTGTTGAGGTATACAGGGCTGTGGCACTTCCATGTGCTCTCTGCTTTGCAAGTGAGCCACAGGTGGCTTTCCCCCACACCTGTGATTCAGCCCTTCTGTCCTGATACTCTGTCACTTCTTGTTTTTACAAAGACAGCTACATTTATGATGGATTATATAAATCCAGTTGACCCATGGATTAGATTATAATTAAATATAACTCCTTCCTAGGATGGTTTAGAAAACCTGTGCTGACTTCTCTGACAATATTCCAGAGAGAGCCAAGCAGTTACCTGAGCAAACACTTTGTCTTTCTGTCCTCTTTATCCCTTGTGTAGCTGAACTGTTACTGGTTTGTGGCTTACACTTGCTTGCAAAAGGGCACCAGAGCAGCAGGGCAGGGATCAGATAGATACATGGTGGATTATAAATATGGTTCTTTTTCTGTCTTTCTTCTAGGTCAAAGTAAACATGGGGACTACTCAAGGTGGGCTAGAGGACCTGTCAAAGACACTGTTTCAGGATGACCTCCTGGTTCTTCAAAGAGAAAAAAAATCCAGCTTTTGTGCTAAAAAAAAATATAAAAGCTGATTGAACAGTGAGGCAGAAAACAACAGACACCTTCAGCCCCTCTTTCTAACAGGTACTAAAAGAGATGCCCCAGACTCCCACCTTGGACATCCTGCCTCCCAGCACCAAAGGGACAGAGCAGAGGCGTCGATGCCAGCTTTTGTCTCTTCCTTACCCCAGCCACAGCCAGGATGGTCCATTTGGATTAAGACATGAACCCAGCCCACTCGGTGTTTTTGGAGCCTCCCCCACACTCCTGGCCACATCGAGTCTCCTTAGTCAACATAACACTGAAATACCAGGATGACCTTGCAGCAGAAGTCAATAGACAGCGCATTGTTTGCCCTGAAGGCTGTACAGTTCATACTTGCCTTAACCCAACTGCGTTGCACACTAGAGAAACTCCGTGCAAGCTTTCTGAAGTTAACATGCTGCTGTTAATTCTGAACAATTTCTAAGTCAGTGGTTTTCTTCTGTTTGGTTTTGCTTTGTTTTCATGTCAGGGAATAAGGCTCTGTTGCTCCATGGCTCCAGAGCGACCAAGTAGAAAACTGCCAGCTGTCTGAGAAGTGCTTTACTTTTGAAGCTTCACAGTGGTCAAGAAACAGTTTATAATGATTAAAAAGAAAAATAAATAAAAGAGAACTTTTGGGGGTCAGGGTGGAAAGGGGTAACATAAACTAATAATTGAACCTACTGGAAATAAGCAGCAGAAATAGTGCTTCTTAATCCCGCTGGTTTTATTTATCACACTGTAGGTGCTTTTATAGCTATCTCTAAACGTCTTTTACTAACTACAGAGACATCTGCAGATTTCTATCAACAAAGGCCAACTGAATATGTACTAGCTATGTTTACTCTTTTATATCTAAACTCAATTGAAAATTCTCTGTAAGTGAGCTTTTTATTTTCTAATTGCACCATAAGGGATCCATATATTTTATTTTTTGATTTCAGTTCAGAAGGGCGGGAAGGGACTAGTTGAGTTGAAGAAATATTGAAGACCTTTTTGTGGTATATTTGGGGGATCTGTTGTGTGTTAGAACGTGTATTTTATCTTCCTGTATTATTGTGGCTAAAAAAACCCCTGTGCTGTTACGTAGTTGGCAACAAGATGCCTTTGGGAATTTTGCTAGTAGGTCAATGTGTATATGAAATACTCTGAACTCCTAGGAACATAAGTTTAATTCTACATCTGATCTGTATTTTCAAGAACGTAGGTGGCTTTCACTAGGAAAAACCCAATATTTTGCTCAGGTTTTTCAGAAACTTGGATTGTCATTGTTTCTTTGCTCAGACCTTGCATAGGCAAACGCACACACCTACCACACCTGAGATGACCATGTAGCTTTTGAGGGCAAGAGGAATAGTCAGAACTTGGAAAGGCTCGAGGTGCCCCTGAGCAATCCCCTTTTCCTTGCTGGCCAAACTCTCTCTCCAAAGGCCTGTGCACTCATGCCACTCACCCATCCCTCTACAAACCAGTGCCCTTTGCTGTGTCTGCATGGATGTACAGTGTCACAAGGAGCAGCTCTGCACAGTGACAGAGAAACAGGCATTCACCAGTGAAAATGAGATACAGGACTTGTTCAGGAACTATACTTACATTGATTCAGTGAGATTTATGTATATATATATATATGTAAGTGTGTGAGTGTGTGTGTATGTCTATGTATATAAAATACATAGGAATAACTATTGTTTGGGGCTGCATCACCCAGGAAGATTCTGATGCAGGGGACCAAGGGCTCCAGTCTCAGATACTGCTGGGAATTTCCTGAATGAATTAGTCACAACCTCTAGGCCTGGTGCCATAAAGCATTCATTGCTGATTTGGATCTCAAATTTAATTTTTCATACTTGGGTACCTGAAATTCTTTATTCTGGATAGAGCTGCTTTTCACGCCCTGGAAACCCCATGCAACATCCAAGTGCCAGGCTGGAATCTCCCATGACTTGAAAAATTTTGAAGATTTCTACTTTTATGTAGTATTAAATATAGCAGATGTATAGTATTAAACACAATGTAGAGGTTTAAATGCAATGAAAATGTCATAACAGGTTATTTTATCTTTCCCCGTATACCACTTAATAAAAATCATATTTCTATAAAAATAATTTTTTAACATGAAAAGAAACCAGTGTAGGCACCTAAGCAGCAATCCAATTTTCAGAAGATAATTTTTCATACCTTTCAGTGATTTCCCATGGAACAGCAGCTACTGGTAGTTAGCAATTTTAGAAGTCAGACGATTTAATGAAGTGTCTACACATAGCTTATAGGCCTGATTTTAATTTAGAAAATTTTGGCCTTAATTTCTCTGTGTCTTAGTCTTCCCATCTATACTACGGGAATAATATGTGCCTCACAGGCTTTTTGTGAGGTCTGAATTGTTAATGTGTGTAAAATGCTTAGGAAATAGGAAGCACATCTAACTACTATGGATTGCAGTATAAACGTGTTTTCATATATTACATATAGAATAGATACACACACTCACATACACACAGTATACATATATATATACACATACATACCTGTATGAAGTTGGTATTCATAACCCTGCTTAAGTTACAGTTAGAGCACCACCATATAAAAAAATAGTACTGTTGACTATTCAACTGAATGATTAGTGGTCAGATCTCTTCTGGAAGCAGTTTAGAGCACAGTAATGTGAGAACATCTGGATGACATTTTTGATTTGTACAGCTGTATCCTTCTCAAAATCCAGTAAAGAATGTTATTTTTCTAGGCTGGGCTTTTGTTATAAACTAAAATATTCAGAAGGCAAGAGATACAATCCAAATGTGTCTTTTTTTTCCTTTTCTTTTTGGCATTTGTTAATTCTGAATGTATTTTTAACAAAAGTGATTTTTTTGACTTACTAGTGTAATTTGCATTTTAAAAAAAAATAAATGGAAAAAATATAGGTTTCCAAGCTATTCATGGCCCCCTGCTGCTATTCACACCTTACAGGAAACTTAGAATTACTGTTCCCAGCTGAGCAACAATGCAGAATAAAGAATCCTATTACATTTACATGATGGCAATCCCGATCTGTGCAATGCATGGATGTGACAGTGCTGAATAGAAATTGCCAGGTCATGACACCATTTTAATGCTGTCATATGTAGCAGGTATTTTCATTATCACTGACACTAAAAGGTTTCTTTTACAAGGCTGACTGCAACAGACTCTTCACTTAGGAAATGAGGCTGGTTTTGCCCACTCATCAGGAATTTTAAGCCAATGATGGGTATACAGTTGCCACAGGTGTTAAGTATTGCAAAAGTAATCCTTGTTAAGAAGAAGCTATGTAACATGTCTATTTCCACTGCATTAATATTCTTTAATATGCTGTTTATTGTCCGCACACTGGAAAGATGAAACCCTGTCAGGCAAAATGTTTATAGAGCTCCCATATATTGACAGCTTGCCTGAGGTCATGAAATAAAGGTGAGGCAGAACAGTATACATTTTGAGATACTAGGTCATGCTCTCTTAAGATGGTTCTTTAGAAAGAGAGTCCATTAATTATTGTCATTAGAATTTTTTATGCCTTCATTATAGTGCAAAGGATACTTTTCAGTCAGGTAAGGAGAAATGGTTTGTGCTCCACTTGCTAAGTTTAAGTACTGCTTGCAAACTCAGCTGCCACACAGCATTTTGACAAAGTCTAACAGAGTATGTATTGATCGCTGGATGTCTCCGGGTAGGAATGTCTATTAACTCAATATTTGAAGGTTTTGATCACATGTATGCTCATCTTCCATTTGAGCACACTGATAGTAGCCAAAACAAAACCCCATACACCATGAATCCCTCCAGCTTTTAATATTTTCTTTACCTGTCCTCTGTTTTATTTTCAAATGCAAATACTCAGAAGATGAGGATTTTTCTTGCAAAGATGGAAATCCCCATGAATAGTCTATATATATATGTATTGCTTGCTGACTGTCTGCTGATGAGTAGCTGAGATGAAATTGATGGACTTTTTGAGTTTGTTTTCTAGCTAATCTGAATCTGGCTTCTTCCCAGTGCATGTGGATTGATGACAGACTCTAAAGGTAAGCCAGGTTTTATTGAAGAACCAATGCATAGTAATACTGCAGACAACACTGTGTCCACTGCTCCTTGGAGAAAGATGTAGACAGTTGTTATGCTAATTGGTCTGCTCTAAGCTATGTGCAATATTAAATGTAATTGCCATGCATAAAAGCAACTGCCCTTCAGACTGCAGTTACTCATTCACATATAGAAGTGGCACAGCACAGAATGGGTCAGTAAAAGAGGTTTGCTTCCTGTAGTCACTATATGCTTCATCCCCAGACGTGGATTGGAGAAATCAGCTGTTTGATATCGTGTCCTGGCAAGTCCCTCTGTTCAGACCTTCACCAAGAGGAGCAATTGCAGCTAGTTAGAGTTGTGACCTTTGCACAGTTGAGTGGTTTAGGAAGAAAGCTATTGTACCAAACGTGAAGTTCTATGTAACATCATACATACATTTGTTACACATCTCTCTCCATATGTACAAAAGAAGGGTCTTTTAAAATGCACTTTTCCTTTATCTCTCAGAAAGCAGGTGAGGCAGTTGTGGGGATACAAAACCACACACAGTCTCCTCCCTTTTCTGCTCTTAAGAGATCCAAAGTCCCAAGTGTTTATCTTTTAGATGGGCATTTGATATACAAAAATTAAAATTTGTGATACTTCATGGATGTGTAAGCATGCTGTAGTCTATGAACACAGTAAATTACTTCTTTCTGCAAAGAGTTTATATGCTAAATAAAGTGAGTATATGAGAATATTTCAATTTAAAAAGAAAAGAAAAAAGAAAAATATGATCTTGGTCTCACTGTGCTACTAAATTTTGATTAATCAAAAAAGTGGGTGGCAAAAAAATTTCAGAAAAAGGAGAAGGGAAACAAGAACATGGAATACAATTATAAACTGATACAGTTGGAATAAGCATGTACATATGACAATTGAGTAA